GACTTCAAAGAAATAACTTTGATGGTAAGCCAGGGCAAGTGTCTTTTATTGAATTTACATCTGATTCAATAAAAATATTTAATAGTAATACTCAAAGTTATGAGCAAAACTATTCCTATCCTATTTAAGTTAATTTTAGGGAATGCAATAAAGGTGAAATAATCTCTTCGTATAATAATAATTTTTAAGAATGTTAAACTTGTGATGAAGGTAAATACTCTCTAGACTTTTCTGGGTGTTATTCATGCCCTTCTGGAGGTGAATGCACTAGAGGAGTAATTCTTTTAAAGCAAGGTTTTTGGAGAGAAGAACAATACAGCTCAGATATTATTGAATGTACTAATAGATTGGAAAATTGCATAGGAAATTCATATGGAAATGCTGTTTGTATAGAAGGGAATATAGGGCCCTTGTGTGAAGAATGTGATGTAATCATTAAATTTATAAAAAATAATTTTTTTTTTATTAGAATAACACAAATAAATAGGTGTATGGTACTTATTGGAAAACTAGTTATACAAAAAAAAATAAATTTGAGTGCATAAAATGTAAAGAATAGACATACAATTTATGGAAATTATTTTTATCTATATTATGGATATTTTTTGCTGTGTATCTCACTGTTAGGAGAGACAAAAAAAATTAAAGATTAAGGTTAATTGTAAATGCCTTTTATAAAAAAAATGTATACACATTTATGGATAGATAAAAGACCCTTCTCTATGAGTAGAAATCAAAAATCTATATGAAGATTTTTGTTAATTATATTTAGATTGCCTCTGCAGCTGTCTCATTTAATTTAAATATAGGAGCATGTAAATTATTTACTATCTTAAAAATTTAATGTTTTTGAAATCAAAATAAACCTTCAGTTTCATTAATTAATCTTATAAACACAAAAAATAATTAATTAATTAATTTAAATTAACAAATTTTTTATATTTTTTGACTTTAAAAAAATTTATTGAAATAAAATCAATCAAATTAAATAATAAATGGAATACCATAAAAAATAACATATATATTTAAATAAAAAGATGTAATAGATGCAATTTCTTACTTAGGAGTGCCTATTTCTACATCTATTGACTACTTAGAATGTTTAATAAAAGATTTAAATTCTGACATTCCCTTGATTTATTTGAAATTGATTGTTTCCATTCTATGCCCTTTAGCTATTTTGTTAGTTTACTTAGTATATGAAGTAATTATATAAAAGTGTTACTACAAGTCAACGCGTCTTTTTTCTTACTCAGTATATACAGCATCAATATTTTTATTCCTTTATGTATAACCAGACTTAGTTTCTTAAATGATTGGCCTTCTTTCCTGTAGAAAAATAATGAACACAGATTACATATTAATTAATATGAATTATTAATGCTACACAGATACATATAAATTTTACAGTATAGCCTTAGTTCTACCTTTTTTGATATTGTGTACTATTGTTTTACCTGCTTTTCTATTTATTTAGATTTATATTTCCTAAAGAAGACATGGTTTAAATGATGTAAAAATAAATTTAAAATATGGGTTTTTATTTTAAGAATATAAAGATTCTGTCTATTTTTGGGAGATAATTAAAATCATTCAAAAAATTGTGATAATTATTCTTCTGAACTTTTATTCTTAAGTTGTAATGGTGAAAGGTATTTTAATCTACTTAGTTATTTTGTTTTATGGAGTGCTATCAAATAAATACAAGCCTTACTAATAAGATTAATTAAATAAAATTGATAATTATTCAACTTAAATTTGTGCTTTCACAATATTGCTTTGTGTCTTCATTAACAATAATTAATACAATTATTTGAAAATTGGCTGTTTTATAATAATAGTTTTGATTAACTCATTTTTTATCATTTACATAGCTCTAAGAATACTAAAAGACAAATATAATTAAGTCATTAATCTATTGTTTAAAGTTTTTGAAAAATACCCATCAATACAAAAATACTTTAAATAAAGAAAGATAAAAATAAATCCTGCTTTAAAGCAAAAGATCAGATCATCTTTAAAAGAGTTTGCAAAGTTAAATCAAAATTAAATTAAGGAAATGCTCTCTTCTATTAGAAATACAAAAACAAGTAAATTTTTTATTTTCATTTAATTAATTTATTAAATTCCCTTAAAACAAAATACAAGCTTAATAAAACCAACAAGAAAATGATAATTAACTTAATTCTAAATAAGATTAAGAAAATATTTTTTTACAAGACTTAAGTCCTACTAAGTAGCTAGATTCTATACCAAATAGTCACAGATAAATGTTGAGCATTGAAACAGACAGCTCTAATTTTAATACATAGATGATTAACAGTTAAACAGAAAGTAAACTAAAAAATATAATATAAAAAAAAACTAAACTTTTATAATAATAAATTAGGACTTTATGCAAGTTTTAAACCAAAATCAATGTTAAGCGTAGAATAAAAGCACTTGACAAATAGTTAAAAACCAATTAATGTTAAATTTAAGATATCTTACTTATAAGCACACAGTGGAGACATTCAAGAAGATTCTTAAAACAAAGAGAATTCTATAGGCAATTAAATTGAAGATAATTAAAAGTAAAATGTGACAGAAAACTCTCAATTTAAAGAAGTCTCTTAAAAAGGATATTCAGAAGCTACTTAAAATGAAATAGAATTAATAAAAAATTCTTAAATTAAAGATGGCTCATTAAGTGAACAAATTAAGAGCTGTTAAAATATTTGATTAATTTTCAAATACTAAAAGATTGTATCTCTAATTATAATTTTTATTTTTTCATAATTTCTTTTAATAAATAAAATGAAATTTAAATATATTTTTAGTATTTTTTATTTATTTACTAATAAATTTCAAATTAATTTCCTTATAAATAATTTTCAAGGTATTTTTGAAGCTCTGTATTTTAAAGGAAATTATTTATGTGTTATTAATTTTAAGAATATTTAAAAATATTAATTTTGATGTATAAAACTACATAAAAAATTAATAAAGTTATTAATACCTCTATTTAGTAAAAAAATACACCCTTTTATTTTTTAATTCTTACAATTTTATTATCTTGTAAATAACACATTAAGAAAATAATCCATAATCTATAAAGCCTTGTAAAAGTCAGTACTCTAGGGTATATATATAAAAAAAGATAGAATCTTAAAAAACTAATTTATGTAAATGAGCTTTTGAAATATTAAATATTTGGATATTTGAAGAATAAGATAAATTAGTATTACTGTAATGGTTTTTAATTTGATTTTATTCACTCAATTAAGATTGAAATATAAAAGATAATTAATATATATAAAAAATAAATACTCAAACTAATTTTTTAATAACAAAAAATTTGAAATTGATTTCTAAATATTGTTTAATAATAAGTAAATATTGTATAATAAAATTAAATATATAAAGATGAACTAAAAAACTAAAAGAAAGATTGAACTAGCTTATAGAATAATTAGTGATTTAGTTGATTTAGTATTAACAATAGTTTGCTTTGTAAAATTGTTAGATTCATATTCATCGTGTAATAAATTTTATGAGTACAGTTATATAGGCGATTAATGCTCAGTTAAGGATAGCTGTTCTTACTATGCTATAAACAAATTAACTGATTAATAGCTTTAAGATGATAATTGCTATGTAAATTACTAACACGGATATTTGAAAATGGATATTCCTTCTGGAGATAGAGTTGTTTATTCAATAATAGCAGTTTTAGTAGTTTAAACTCTCTTAAGAATATATCTTTATCTAAAAATAGATATAAAAAGATATACAAAATTAAAAATTAGCTTTTTCGCTAATTTTATTTAGTTTACTGTAAATTGTGGTAACTTTGTAATGTCCACAGTTAACTGTACTTCGATTTGTGCTTAAATGTCTCTTTTTGACTAATAAAACACAGCTTTATATTCTGCCTCAGTAGGTTTTGTTTGCTTAGTTTTACTTTTTATTTATGGAGTAGTATATAGCTTCTGCAAGTAAGGAGAGCCAGGATGTTTAGATTATTTATTTATATTTGGGTGCTTTTTAACAGGAACTGTAGCTTTTG